TATCGCGTCGGAACGCATTACGGATAGTCACTCAATATGGCGAGTGTTTGTATATCCTTGCGTGTAACTCACGCATCCCGCTTTTGTAGACAAGGAGACAGCCTGAGATCTACACGACGCTCTTCCACACAGACACGCGTCTGTACACCTTGTTGATGGTCGATTTGGACGTCCCCGACTCCGAGAGCCAGTCGTACACTACGTACTTGCACTGGATGCAGTAAGTCCTCCTTGCGTTGCTCTTCGCTGCTTCCCCTGACCGACCTGCGCTCATAGGCCTAACATCCCTCTCTCTGCGTTCACCCAATCGCCAACAGTCCCTCTCGACACGCACACGCGCTACGTCCCACCACACCCACAGCGCGGCACTCCTTACCACCGCTACGTCTTACTGGTGCTACCGCAGTCGTCACCAACGGAGCCTATCGACATTCCGGTATTCGAGGAGTCGGACCGGCTCGGGTTTAACTTCCGCGCCTTTGCAGAGCAGTACGGTTTCGACGGAGCTCGGGGAGGCGGTGCGCATATGTGGCGCGAAGTGTGGGATGAGACCGTGTCGCACATCTACAAGTTCACGCTCAAGAAGGACGAGCCGCGGTTCGGGAAGATGCCCAAGCCAGACCCGTACGCAGATCTCAAGCACAAGAAAAAGTATCTCTAGATGGGTCGGATACTGCACACCTCATACTACTTGTAACTCAGTTACTCCTCTAATGTTGCATGCGAGCGTGCTCTCTGCTCCGTGTCTCGCGAGCGGTCTCTTACGCGCCGTGTACCCCTTGCGCTGCTGCTATTGCCTGGTTGAAGCCCGATGACATGATGTTCGCGGTGAGAGCGGTGTAGATCTGTGTTACGTGACCGGTGGTCGCGCCGCGGTTGCATCGGGAGGAGATCTACTTGGCAACGACCACTGAGTATAATGGATCAATGCTGCTTTGCAAACGATCATCTTCATCACTGCACACTCCACCCTCTGCCAGCCATACAGCATGGCTGAGCTCTCAGCTGGGCCTCAGCTTACCCCTAATCTTCGCGACTCTTCCCCGCTGAACACGCTTATCCGCCGCACGTCGTCGAGGAGGGTGAACAACCACAGACCAGCCAATCTTGAGCCCCCCGGAACGCCTCCGCGGACAGGAAGTTCAAGTCCAAATAGCACACCACCCCCACCCCATTCGCCCATCCTGCACACACAGTTCCGGAGCTCGACAGCCACCGCGGCGTCGTACTACGACGATGGCGAGAGCATGCGCACCATCTCCTGGGACGCACGCTCGACCACCGCACCCTTTCGCGGCCGCGCACCACACGAGTCCTACGCGTCGACCAACTACGACATCGACTCGATAACCAATAGGTACCGCGACACATGGCGCTCGTCCGGCGTCGTCGATCCTCCTTCTGTCTACGACCCCCCTGACGTCCCTGATCTACCCACCGTCGTGGTCTCCGCGGCCCCGGAAACCCAACCCACACCGGAGCTCTGGCAGCAGGAGTATGACTCTACCGTCCCAGGTCCCTCGAAGGGCGGACGCGTGCCGTCGCGCGTGCAGGCCCCGAGCCTGAACTTCTCGAGACCGGTGGTGCAGCCAATGTCGAACCTCGACTGGGACGAGTCGGAGGACCGGAAGCGCGAAGTGCTGATGAGGAACTCACCCTATCCAACGTCCTCGGACCATTCACCAGCACACTCTCCTGCTGCAAGTCCACGCCATGGGCCAAGTCCGCTCAGTTCACCGGCACTCGAGCCATCGTCGCAGTCGGGCTCGCGGCCCGTCTCGCCTGCTTCCCTGCGTGAACAGCAGCCGTATTCGAATCCCTATCCTTCCCCCATTCCATCTCCGAACATCGCGCAGTCACACCCTTCGTCTTCACTACAGGCACAGACCCCAGGCGCAGGCGGACAGTCGCCCCGCATAACCTCCTCGGTGAGCGTATACTCGAATTATTCCTATTACGAGCTCCCTCCCACCCCGACGTCTGCGACCATCAATGGCCCCTCTTCTCCCGCGCCCTTCCCCGCCCCTCCTACTCCCGCCTCAGCCCCGCCATATCCACCGAATACACCTACAACGCCAGGAACCCAGGGGCGACCTCGAGCGAAGTCGACCGCGAGTCGGCACAAGGACGAGAACCCCGCCCCTGAGAACCCGCAGACCCCGCAAGACTATCTCCAGCTCGGAATCAAGCACCACCTCGAGAACCGGCTCACGGAGTCTGCGCAAGCCTTTGAGAAGAGCGCGACACTCGGTGGGGGATGTGGTGTCGGCATGCTGATGTGGGGACTTGCCCAGAGGCACGGGTGGGGGTGCGCGAAGGATGAGGCGACGGGGTTCAAGTGGTTGCGCCGCGCGGCGGAGCTTGCGGTCGCAGACATGGAGAAGGGGCAACAGGGTGATATGAGTGCGGTCAGGGTGAGTTCACCTCCAACCTGTCTTTCTGTGTCGTGGGCGCTAATATTGGGGTGCAGTCCGAGCTGGTGCTTGCTATCTATGAAGTCGGACAGAGCTTCTTCCGTGGCTGGGGCGTTCAGAAGGACAAGGAGATGGCAGTGGTATGTGATATACCCACTCACTCCCATTTATTGCGCATGCTGATCATATATCAGCAATACTACCGGGTCGCGTCACGACTCGGAGATCCCGACGCTCAGCAAGAGCTCGCATTCTGTCTCGAGCACGGGAAAGGGTGCAAGAAGGACAAGAAAGAGGCGGCGAAGTGGTACCGCGCTGCTGTATGTAACCTTCCATCCTCCCTTCCGTGTGTTGTGCACGCATACTGAGAGAATGCATCGGCTACATAGGTGCAGCAAGGCGCAAGCGACGTCGGGCTGGCGTGGATATACAAGGAGAAGTACCAATAACCGCCATCGTCCGCATGTCGGTGATATTGGGATCTGGATTGACATATACCCGCTGCTTTCGTTACCCATTCGTTCTAGGTGGTTTGCTGTATCATTATTATATTAGATTTACCGCGGCATGAACACGATATCTCTCCTCAACATTGTCGTTGTGGTGCCAGGGTCATGAACCACCAATGACAGTCAAGGGAATTGCAGGTACAGCCTGTCACTGCGACCCAGTCTCGACCGTCAAAATACCCCCTCGTCATTCCGCACGATACAATACTGCTTTACTTCTCTGCTTCAGACTTGGGAATTAGCAGGCACGGCTGCCCATGCGTTGTAATACACATGCTCGCGGTCGGTATGTGCCTCCAACAGATCGCCCTCGGAGGAGAGCATGCAGTGGAAGTACCCCTCGTCACTCCACATGTACAAGAACTCCTCCAACGAGGAGAAGCGTTCCAGCGTGACCTCGGCAAAACGCCGCAGCACATAGCGGTGGGTCTGCCCGGGCTCGCCGATCTGGTACATCCTCGAGTCTTCCGCCACCTTGCGCACCCACGCAGGAGCCCAGACGAGTGTTTCCAGGACGGGCGGGAGGCGATGAGGCTGGGTACCGAGCGCGAGTCCCACCCTCCCGAGCCAGTCGCCCCAACAGGTCCTACCGCCATAGTAGGCTTCCGGTGACCACCGGTCCTACAGGGTGCAGTGAGCACACGAGAGTACGCGCACATTGATAACATGGGGAACGTACATAGCGTCGATAGTCGACGATGTCATCTATGTGAAGGAACTTGAGTCGCGTGCAGCGCTCCCAGCGCACCGGACGTTCGGTGGGATACATCGGTCCTTGCGGGTTGTTGGAGGTTTGCTCTATGCGCAAGCTGACGAGCTGCGGCCCGAGCAGGTCGATAGCTTCGTTGATGGCCTGCGCGTCGAACCTGTCGACGAGCCAGAGGTGGGTGATGTTGCGCGTGGCCTTCATCTGGTGCAAGATGAAAATGTCGCATGCAAGCGTGTGAAGGTTGGGTAGTTCGACGTCCGCCAGTGTGCCAGGGACCGCTGGCTCATTCAGGATAACGGCTTGGGACAGCAGACGTACTTCTTCGAGCTGAGGACCGAGGACTTGCAGCGTAGTGGCATAACTAGCGTCCAAACGCACTGGGTAACCGCGGATGTACCGCAGCGGTGGTGACTTACCCTTCAAGAGCGTCGAGAGGTTCCACGAGCCCGAGAACGGCCGGGCAGAAGCTGACCGAAGGTCTCCCCACATCTCGAGGGAGACAAGTCGGGATACTGCATCCAAGATGGCACTGAGCGTGTCCAGGTACAGTTCGCTGGTTTTGTTGTCTCTTGCCGTCACTTTGATGGTGAGGGCCTCCACGGCACGCGCGCGATGGGTCGACTGCGATATACTCTCCGCAAACCGCACGGCGGAGGTGGTCCCGGCGAGCAGAGGCTTCTTGTACAGGAGGCCCTCCGCTTCGTGATGCAGTGCAGAGAGGAATCGAACAGCTCTTGCAAAGTGGCGTTGATCCAGCTCGTCGTGCAGGTACTCGAACACCAACTTCCAGACTTCGACAGGGAAGAGGATGTCGCCTCGCGGGACCACTTGAGGAGGCTCCCGCCGCCGTGGTTTGCCTTGAGCTTTCCGAGCTTGACGTGCCTGGCATCAACGGATTGAGCAGGTAAGCTTCGGAAGTTGTGAAGTTACGCACTCTGCTTGCCACTGGCCATACACCACGATCCAGTGGCGGAGCCTGGGTTGAGTGGCGGGATTGGACAGACTCTAGCCGTGCAGAGACACGAGTAGACCGCCGAGGCATGTCATTGTCTGCGTCAACCTGGCGCAAAGTCGACATGCTAACACTGGTCTGGGTACGAGACCAACACTGGTGCTGGTCGCCCCGAGATACCAGTAGCGACCAAGTTCAACTTGGAAGATGGCCTCTTCGGAAAGTCCCGCTCCGTGCCGAACGCGATCACTTGGGCGCGACTGCTCTAGTATGAGTACGCGAGCCCGTGTTGCTATTGGTCACGATGTTTGGAGTTAACCGTTACTAGTATACTGGCTTGGGAGAATGCGCAAAAAGGTACAGGTAGTAAAACAACGAAGACAAGCAGACTAAAAGTGTCTGTCGCACATGAACCACTGCCCCAGTGAGGCTCGAACTCACGACCTTCCGATTCCGTACTTTGTCACAAGACATCATAACAGTCGGACGCTGTAACCAACTCAGCCATGGGGCACATGGTATAATTTATCGTCGTACCGGTCTGTACCGCAACATGCATCACATTGTCATTGACCCCAGAAGGCGATCTTGCCAGTGCGTGAACTGCACGCACTGCGCAGGCGACAGTGAAGTACATGCAGCACTCTACCGAGCACTGCGGATCATGGGATCCGTAGCCGGTGCAGGAACGAGATGAACGGCCCCCGAAGTTGTTTGTCCAAGCACCATGATTGTCGGGGTCCCAGAACCCAATACCCATCTATTAAAGAGGGCGGTCTTCCGCACAGCAGCGCGCCGACCTGTCGATCATAAGTAGTCTACATGATGCGTAGTGATACAGAAAACCACAAGCCACGAAAGCACAAGCATGAACATGAGCAGCACAGCACTCGTCATTAACAATCCTCCTCAGCACAGAACGAACAACGAACGACATCAACAGGACGAAAGCGAGGCACCCGGCCTAGCACCGTGACCAAGGGCAAGGCTCGTTGAGGGAGAGCCGTTGCCGCTCAGTTCTTGGCGCCGCCCTTGCCCTTCTGCGCACCGGCGAAGCCACCCTGCTGTCCGGGAGTCTTGCCGGTGTTAGAGCCCTTGATGGCACCAACAGTGGCGGACGCGGAGGGCGCAGCAGCAGCAGTGGTCGCGTTGCTCGCGTTGTTGCCACCAGCTGGGGGGGCAGCCGCGCCGCTGTCGGAGACGGTGAACTGAGAGGGGCCCGCCGGTTAGCATGTTGACTTGCACGGCGGAACAGATGCATCACTTACGTAGATCATGTCATCGAGCGCGCCGTGCTGCGCGACAGCGACGAGCGCAGGCTGGTGGTTCGCCGCAGAGTTGATGGACGCGAGGCGGTACACGCCAGCGGGGAGACCGCCGGCGACGGCAGCAGAGAGGACGCCGTTCTGCGCCTTGTCGTTCAAGCCCTTGAAGAAGACGAACTTCGTTGGGTCCGTCACGGCCGTCTGGTCGAGCGCGGTGAGCGGGTCAACGACGACGTGCGAGTGGCCGGTGATGTCACCGGCAGAGTCGACTGTCTGCGGGGCCGCGAAGTAGTTCGCGTTCGGGTTGGTGAAGAAGCCAGTGTTGAGGTGACTGATCGCCATCTGGATGGTGAAGTCCTGGTTGGCGGGGATCGTCTGGCCGTTCTTCGGGAACACGAACTTGGACGAGGGCATGTTCGTCTGGGCCGCGATGACACCCATGGGCGCGGGGTTGCACGATCCGGTCGTGATCTGCTTGCCGTTAGTGATCGGGAGGTTGGACACGGTCGCGCAGAAGTTGATGAAGTTGTTCGTCGACGTCAACGACGCGACCTGGCCAGCGGTGGGCTGGTCCTGGCCGTCGTCGGCGAAGCCCGTGGCAATGACCGAGTTGAGCAGCGCTGCGATTGTCCGTACTCAGGGATGCATTTCATGCAAGTGATGTAGCGATACGTACTCAAAGAGGTCTGCGGGTCACCGCTGTTGGCATTCGCAGCGGAAGAAGAGGCAGCCGGGGGAGCAGCCGCGGAGGAAGCAGCCGCGGCCGAAGTAGCAGCTGCAGCGGTCGTGGACGCCGCATTACCCTTGCCCGCGTTGTTTCCACCCTTGTTCTGGTTGCCGCCCTTGGCCGGGAAGGCCGGGGCCTTAGGGGGAGTGGGAGCCTTTGCAGGGGGTGCTTGCGGCTGGCCGGTGCGAACGCCATTGTTGAAGTCACCCTTTAATGCCGATTGATGGTGAGAACCTTGATGGAGTCAAATTCTACTAGCAACACTCACGATGGGCGTGGCCTGAGCGAAGACCGGGAGGAGGACGAGGAGTGCGGCGAAGGAGTGTGCGAACTTCATGGCTGTAGAGACGGTACGAAAGTCGACGCGAAGCTAGCTTCGGAAAAGGCGGAGAGACCGAGTCTGGGGTGGAGACCTGCCGCTGCTTCATGGTTAGTACTCACTAGCTGCTCTGCAGGACCGCAAGACGTACAAGAAAACAGAACCAGGCAGCTCTGCTGCAAGTGAGGAAGGAATGTAGGAGGGAGAGGGGTGAGGGAAGCATCCTCGAGAGACCGCAGGCTTATATGTGGGGCGGTGATTGACATGGAAGCCTGTTCGAAATCTTCCTTGCTGTGCTCCAATTGGGCCCCCCTGACAGTGACAGGCCTGCGAGGACAGCGGGAGGATGTGCATGTCCGCACCGTTGTCAGGGAGACTCGAACATGCGAATGTCCGTACCTAAAATAACGCGGTGTCCTACCCAGATGAGCGTGGGACGCCTTCTGTTCGACATTCCGGAGCTTGTTTGCAGCCTATTACGGGTCCATATGTAGCAGGCGCCGTCAAGAGAAAGACACCGGGCGCGAGGTGGCCGAGGTCGCCACGTCCGCTGATTGGTCGACTGGGTCCAGGAATATCGCAGAAGCTGTGGATACGTCACCCCGATACATACACCTCCGCGCCTGCCCTCCAACGCGCGCTGCTTGGGAACTCAAGAGACGGTACTCTTCATGAAAGGTCCTTGAACATGCTCTTCGCTTTCACCGCACACATGAACGCCGCCAGCGTGTCCACCTCCTTCACCTCTTGCTCCCGGAAATGCCGCTCTGCAATGGTGGCAAGCATCCCGTCAACTTCCGACAGGTCGCTATACAGTGGTGGGGGTGCAGGGATCCGCTCTTCTTCCACCAGCCGAGAACTCCGACGCCGGCTCGCCCCTGGGTCACGACGTGGACGGTTTGCCGCCGTTGGGGTCGGACCAGGACCGGGACTCGCTGTGGACGTCCTACGAAGTGCGTGTCCGTGAGGAGGGATATGGCTCTTGGGCCTGAGCAGCGAGGACGGTTGTCCGGGGTCTTCAGCAGTCAATGGAGATGGGTCCAAGTCTGGTATCAAGTCGAAACATGCCAGGTATCGATGCAATGCGTCGGATGGCAGCGCTGTGAAATCTACCTGCGGGTCAGACGGTTCGTATCAGCGACCTGCCAAACTCCAGGTGGGATTCAACAGATGGCAATTCGGCAGGAGACGCAGTTCCTGATGATGAACGGCCGAATGGGCAAGCCCCAGATGTTTCCTGTCTGTATCAAGGCAACCGAGCTCCACACGAAGATTCGTTCCTCGATATGCGAAGGTGGCGTTGGGCGTCGAGCGCACAATGATTCCTCATAACCGTGAGGTCCTTCACGGCCCCCGTTGCTCTTATGCCGGCATAAGAACCTGGATAGCTAGGCGAGAGAGCTGCGAACAGCCCGAGCTCTCCACGGATTACGAGCGCCCTTAAGCTGCTTGCATGCACTAAATATAGCTGCATCACAAGGGGCGGCGATACATGTCAATCCCACCTCGGTCCAGTCAGTCGTTGAACAAGTAGCTGCCAGACAATTTAGGCTATGTCGAGGCAGCGTCTCACACTGTGCTCGCACTCGTGTGTTATGTCTCCTGGGAAGCGGGAGAAGCATTGGGGTGGGGAGAAGTATCCGCGGCAAAGTATGCATGTGCCAGAAAGGACGATCCGACACAAACTCGAGCTCCTGTCAGCTCCGCAGGAAAGCCCAGAAATGATGCGAACTGTAGAGGGGGCCGCTTCAGCATCACAACAGCGTGTACAGCTACGCTGATCATGGGAGGGGCCGACCGGTGTTGTACAGGCTGCCCAATGGACGCGAGCCTGTATACACCGGGAGGGTCTCTTCTCATGACGGCGCAGAGCCCCGCTGACTGACAGAGTCCATTCACGTTCGAGGTACTTGAACGTCCGATGTGCCCGAAACACGAGTGGTGCGTTATGTGAGGACCATGAACGAGACTCACCAGAGACCCCTTCTCCTCTGCTCCGTTCCCTGCTCCCGACGCCACCCCACCAGCGGACGCGTCGACGCGCTTGCGTTTGACGCGGTCGCGGTCGCCATCTGCACGCTCGGGTGCGCCGCGTTTGGTGCCTGCTGCTGCGTGGTATGCTGCATCGTCTGCGGCGGCGGCGCGTTTGCGGGCCCCTTGAGCGCGTCGTGAGGTAGGTGCAGGTGTCGATTGCGGCGGCACTGGAGGTGGGAGGTTGGACATGACGGCCGTTGGATGTGCGTGTGAGGACGTATTCGGCATTTACTCGACGGGTCGTGGAGGTACCTGGTAACAGTTCGATGGAGAGGAAGCCCAAGTGGCTTGCAAGTGTACTACTTAGAGTGGCCATGAAGCGGAACTGTTACGGGCTCAATCTTATGTAAGACTTACTGCACTTACATAGAACCTCATTGATGGTACTGATCAGGTTAGTAACCGTTAGTTTGGTTACTGATCTAGCGCTACTTGATGGAGACGTGGCACAACTTGAAGAGACCGCGTCCGGCTTACTCGAGTCTACCATCCGTCTGATCGCAACTTTCTGGCCGTTCGGAACCCATGTACAACGTCGGAGAACGTGGAGAATGGAGTTCACGTATAACAGGGGCACACTAGTACCGGTCACCCATGCTGATCCCAGCCAGACGTCTCTCAACCCGACTGAGGATGTTTTGGAGCGCCCCCTTCGATCGGGCCCTCAAGGGACGTGTCAGCAGGGAACTTGAGCGTATGTTCACTGCCGCACGCGACAGCACTGTTGAGTTCCTGTTTGAGGATATGGAGCAGCAACAGGATGTCTCCGAATCGTTCCTGTTCGAGGATCAACAACACCAAGAAGAGGTCAACAAATTTGCGAAGCTCCAGCGTGCCTTCGTCGTCTCACTTCGCTCCAGGGTGGCGGAGATTTTTCCGGAGTTACATGAACGTGGGATCATGTCGGTCAAGTTCAGAACCTGGGATGGTATGTAGGGTCGCTCATCTTCTTCCGAGGTAACCGCTGACCATCGTATGTGTGTTCTAGGACTCTCCGAAATGTTGTATGACTGGGTGGAAGATAGCAAAGGGGACTTCGCGGGCATCCCGTACACGCAATTCCGGGCGTTTGGATCCGCATACATAGGTTAGAGTAAACTGCCGACTTATGAGCCCAATATTTGTCGGTCGGTTTCAAGTGCACTGGGCCATAGAGGCGTCACTTCAGA